GGATCTGATACCATGTTAGATTTCTTCTTTCTTATCGAATAGCAGTCTATGGGGATATTTTTATTTTCAAATTGTTGTTTAATTATATGAAATATGGCTGTTTAGCAATCAAGATTTTATGCATTCGAATTATCGAGAATGAGGACATAAATATTTTACCTTAAACCTTAATTTGAATTAAATAATAATTGTATCTTGATTGAGCTTATTGGTTGGTGTTACTTGAGTAGAATAAGAAGAAGCTAAGTGTTTTGACCCAACCTAAGTACACTGCAACTAGTTTTATCATCAAGAAAGTATGGTGACAAGAAATAATTCCCATATGGGAAATGGTATAAGCAAGGTAGTATGGTTGGCTTGATAGCTTGCCAAGAATGATATAATCACCAATATCCCATGGTGGAAACGTGTAGCAAGATAGTGTAGAAAAGTGAAAACCACCTATATACCAAAGGGAGATCGATTCCCAAAGTTTTCGAAAGGTGAGTTAAAGAGCTATGCAAATTGTTTACAGACAATTTGTGTCTTGAGAATTTGAAAGTCAATGAAAGTTTATATGGTAAGTAACGGAAGAAGTTATTTTTCTTTTAACATGTCAATGGGAACGGATAATTGTGAATTACCTAATCTTCTTTGAGAGACGTTTGAGATAACAAACATGAAATAAGTTCTACCAGTCTTTCATCCAGAGAGAAGGAAAAGGTGGTGAAGCTTATAGTTGAAATGGAAAGATTGCTTGCTTTGGAGTAGTACTCCAAGTTGTTAAGATCTTGAGGTTTTTAAGTTAGTGGTACTGGTTAGAATCTCCCAAGGAATGAGTTGAAGGATGGTGAACTATGAGTTTCAATAGTAGTTGTCAAGATATAAAGTCTTTGATTGGGAGTTTGATTAGATTGTATGAATAATCAATTCATGTATTCGTTGAAGGAAAAGTGTAACTAAGTTTAAAGGTAAGGATCAAAACGAGAAAGAAGGTTGATGAAAGGCTAACAGGATGACTAAGGATATTTTGCGAAAATATTTGGAAATGAGAAGAAGCATAAAGGTGGATTGAGTAACTCTTGAAAGTTAAGGAATTTTGAATTATAAAGAAATAGTATATTGGGGAGCATTAATATTATAAAGCTATGGATATGAGAAGGTAAAAAAGAACTGAATCTATGGCAAGATTTATGAAGTTGAGTGCAAAATGTTGATATAATTTAAGTATGGATTATTTATGGGATAATTGAAGTTGAGATTAATCGTGAACCATAAGAGATTTATTCAAGGAATGTTGGAGGGAGGGTGATGGTTTTCATGGAGATTTGTAAGCAAAGGATATAAAGGTTGGGTAAAGTTTGAGGTAAGATAAGTACATTGTTGTGTGTGGAGAAAGAATAATATAGTATTGCTGGAGGAGTTAAAGGGTATAATTGCTAGGTCGTTGAAAGAAGGTTACATCGCCTTGGAGAGCACATGAAATTGTAAAAGAGGAAGGATAAAAGTGTTGTAAAGTGCCTACGGGAGGATTGATCACGGTGATAATGAGAAATAATTATCTTTTGATTTGGAGTGGAGATTTGTTTGATCAATCGAAAGGAGCAACAATATTTTCGAGGTTAGGCTTGAGGATAGGAATTACTAAGTAAAAATATTCGAAAGAGGACATTTCGAAATTGGCACTTATGACAAGATTCGGAAGTTTGAGTTTTATTTTGTCTTTTGGGTTAATACAACACCTATATTTTCTATGGACTAAAGGAATCAAGTGAATTCGTTGATGATATTTTGGTATATTCCACGAATGAGAAATGAAAGACCACGCAATATAAAGCTGGTGGATGTTAAGAGAGAAGAGACTATATGCAAGTTCTAAGAGTAATTGGAAGTTCTTGAGGGAGTAATAAGTGTGAAATAATTTGTATGGAAACATGATTATTTGAGTGAAGTGTAAAGTTTGAGGTAGACTTTCACACATAAGGATTTGAATATGTAACAAAGAGATAATGATTGGAGTTGATAAAGGACCATGGTCAAGACATTCAATATTGTTGAAAGGGAAGCAATGTAAAAGATGGATACTTTGGTGATACTCGACGAAATGAATGGGAAATAAGGAGGTTAACATCCTCGAAATTGTTGGAAAAAGAATAAGTAAAGAATATGTGGTTCAAACAGAGTTTGAGATCATCAATGTTCGAGGAGATGAAGGAAAATCAAGTAAAGAATGCAAAGTGTGATCAATTTGTGAAAGGTTGATTGATTTTAATATTCATAGAGGTAAAAGTTTGAATATATTTTGTAAGAGTAAAAAGGTTGAAAGGAAAATTAATGGAAGAAAGGCGCAATACACCATATCCAGGAAAGGACAAGTTGATAAGAATTTGGTAAAGGTGTATTAATGGTGTAGAATGAAAGCGATATCATTTGGATTATGATGGATAGGTTGTTTAAGTCTGTGATGTACAGAACCAATGAAGGAGACTTGGAGGATGTGGAGCAACTTGTGAAGGCTTACATCAAATTCGTTTTAAGACTACATGGAGTTCCTATGGATATCATGTCAGGTAGAGATTCCAAGTTTCTTTCAAGATCCTGGAAGGTATACATGAGAGCTTTGGTAATACATTGAGGACGATTACAAAAACCACCAAGTGATAAATGGATTGACAAAAAGAAACATTTGACATTAGAGGTCATGCAGAGAGCATGTGTACTCAATTTCGAAAAGAATGTAAAGATAGCTTGGATTGAAAACAAACACAAAGTCACCATTCAAGCTATCATTGGCATAAACACATTTTTGGGGTTTTGTATAGAAACAATTATGAAAGTTCACTATGTCAAGTAACATAAGTGAGATGACCGTTTTACGGACTCAAACGAGTGAAAGAAAACAAGTGAAAATTATCCAAGATGGATTTGAGTGATGAAAGTTAAACAAGGGATAAGTGTTATTGAAGGTGTAACCAATGAAACAAAGGATGAATTTTGATAAGAAAGAAAAGATGAGCCAAAGTATATATATATATATATATATATATGAGTTTGCATAGAATTGGTAAAGTGATGAATAATTTAGCTTTATCATTGGACCTTGGTAAAGTACAAAACATTTATTCTTCAAAGTCATTGTAAAATAACATATTCCTGACTAAAGGTATGAGTTGCAAAGGAAACTATTGAGTTTACCAAGTTGAGCTACAAGAAAGCTAGACAAAATTAAGGTTTGAAATAGCAAAGTGCTTATTACTTTTACTACGGATTGGTAAAAGATGGTTTATATGGAAATTAATTATTTTTAGTATGATGAGTAAAGAATTGATAATATTATCGGTACTCGCAACAAGGAATGATTATAAAGAAGCATTATGATTTTACCAAGGATGGAATGGAAAGGAAGTACCCTACTTCTAAAGTTGACTTAAGTGGAGTTACGGGGGCGTAACTCGTTTTCTTTAAGGGGGTAAAGTGCGATAGAATTACACACTTATTTTTCTTAATTTTGGCATTTTAAGTGCTTTTTCATCAGATTTACACTGATATTCTTGTTAAATTTGATGATTTTACACACTAGGATGTGTAAGTTTATTGGCAAGGATGAATCTTACACTAATAATAGCGTGAGTTTGTTAATTAGTTTAATATTTTACACAATGTTTTGTGTAAGTTTAAGAGTTGAGTTGTTATTTTACACACTATATTGTGTAAGTTGTTAGAAAGTTCGTTATTTTACACATAAGTTTGTGTAGAAATGAGTAGAAGAAATAGAAAGTATGAGTCACAAAGAGTACATCAATATTATACAAAGTGAGTGAAAAGTTTGAATTTCGTTACTTGCCGAAACTTCTTTTAAGGGGGTAGACTGTAATACCCCGTATTTTTATATGTATTTTAATTTAAATAAGTATTTTCTTAAAAGTATTTAAATAATTCAAAATGAATTATTTAGGGTTTTTCGTTAATTTAAAAAGAATGATTTTTATTAAAAGTGTATTTTTAATTATTTAATAATCTTGAAAATATCTTAATTTATGATTTGGAAATATTGGGGCATATTATTTTATAAAAGATAATTTTTAAAAGTCAAAGTCCTAGTTTGATTAGAAATCCTAATTTGAGTAGGAAAGAGATTATTAAGGATAATAAGTAGGAGGTTATGAGAAAGGTTATAAATACTCATCATAGGCCTAGGGTGAAGTGCACCAAAGGTAAATTCTCTGTTCTCTTATTTTATTTTTCCCTTGATCTTCCCCTTCCCCTTTAATTTAATTATTTATTGCACTACACACGCCCGACCACCACCACCAACCTTCGCTAGCGGCAGCAGCCACCAGGCGGCGCGGCAGCGGCGGCCTAGGTAGTTGCATATTGCCTATTCTTCGTTCTTAATTTTTAATCACGTTTTAATCACGTTTAGATTCTAACTCGTCTGATTTTTACAAAAAAAATAGTGTTTTTCGTGTGTAAACAACGTTTTAAACAAAACTCACTACTTTTGGTAGTGAGCACCACCCTCTCGTGGCCAAATTCAGCCTTTAAATATGGTTTTCGGACAGTTTTTGATTTTTAACGAAGGTTTAATGTTCTAATATAATTTTCAAATTTAGTTTTTAATTAAAAAGCCCCAAATTGAAAACCCTAGGTTTCTAAATTATTGTTTATTGATGGAATTTGATTGTGGTTGATTAAAACTATTAGAAATAATGTTTTTAAACTAAATTACAGCAACTTTATAAGTTTTAATAATGCTGTAATTTTTATATATAAGCTATAATTATGTTTCTTGAAAATATTTTTAATTACCCATTAAGTAAGGGTTTTTAAATTAAATTTATTTCAGTTATTTTATAGGGTTTATGAGTGATTTAAAGATTGTATATATTGCTGGAAATTTGTGTGAAAGAGGTATTAATACTTTTTTATAATTTTGGTATTGTAGGAGACTTTAAGTTGAGTAATTTCTAGCATTGTGGCTAGTTGGAAAGATGATTTAAGGTACGTTCGCGTATTTGGTGATTATTTGAATATGTAGAGGCATGCTAGGTTTTATTTAATTAATTTCATGTAGTATCATGATACGTGTTGATTGGAATTTGTGATTGGATTGATGCTGGTGAATGATTTGTGACGTATGACGTGATAGAGTATAAAACATAATATTGGGCCTCAACAATCAGCTTAAGCTTTTGGTTGAGTTAGTCCTTTAACATGGTCACGGGTTCGAATCTCATCCACCCCCCACCTTTAAGTGGAATATTAAGCGCGGGGTATGAGGAGGGCCCATGCTGCATCCACACTTCAAGCCTAACGGGCTCTCATGCGAGGGGGCGTGATAGAGTATAAAACATAATCTTGGACCTTAACCATCAATTTAAGCTTTTGGTTGAGTTGGTCCTTTAACAGGTTTAAAAGGGTCACCAGCATCAGCTGAATTTCGGAAGCATGCTAGATAGTTTTGATCCATTCAACTTCATCATCTTTGGCACGTTAATTGTTTAAAAGGTAGAAACTTCCAACATTTTACTATTATTGGACATCAATATTCTATGACATGACATATTAGCTAAAAAATATATATGTATACACAGATCCTTAGGAATCTATGTATACCTAGTCGCGTGTATCTCCTAAATATATTGTTGAGTTAGTTAGAGTCTTGCTCGCGATAGGTTTGTGTATTAATGTATTATTATGTACTATAGGCATGTTGTTATTGTTAATAAAAAGGTGAAGCCGTTTGCTTCTTATTATCTTATATATATTATCTTGACTTTAATACAGATTTCCATGATAAACATGAACTCCCATCAGTCTTAGTCAACCTTCATCGTTCTTCCCAGACTCATGGCAATGGGAAGAGCCCTTGTCCGCTCTCTGTACCTGGTACACCACCATAGGCGGTTGTGCTGTCTCCCATATACGTCAATAACCCTCCACTTCCGGCGCCTTTTGTCTGTAAGGTAAATTTACTGTATTATAATGGATAAAGTTAGTGATGAGTTTGAACTTAGATTTTTGTCTATGGTTTTAGGAATTTAAGTTAAGAGTATTATATAATTTGTGTATGTAATGGGTTTGTTGATCATTGATTATGGTGGTAGGGAATATGCAGTTGACAGAAGTATCTGATATGTAGATGACATTACATATCTGAATTCTTGTAATTTTAACATGTTTGCTAATAGGAGACGAAGATTATATAAAAGAAAATTGAGGTTTACATTATGGAATACTTGTGTATTTAGGGTCTTTAACTGTTGTTCCGGTCTCAAAATATGTCAGGACTAGCCCTGGGATAGAGTGGTCTGAAGCACAAAAGATAACACTGAGTGCAGACCTTGAAACTTCTGCAAGGCAGCTGCTGAAATTTCTAGCAGAAATTGACAAAAATCACACTCTCTATGAAGGTCCTGTCTTGGATCGTGCCATTTACAGGTATTTTGCATCATATGCAATTATAATCTCTTCCATTAGCATAAGAGAGTGATTTGTTTATGTAGAATGATGCCTTAATCTTTCTTGAAAAGGTACAAAAACTATTGGCTACCTCTGCTAGCCAAAAATTCTGAGCCTGCAGGATTAGGATGCCCTTTAGTTGTACCACTTGACTGTGAATGGATCTGGCACATTCACCGGCTTAATCCGGTTAGTAGCCCTTAGGTGAAATAGATCTTTTTACTCCTTACTAGTTTCTGCACCTAAGATGGAGGACTCAACTTATATGTAATTTTCCAGAAACGTTACAAGACAGATTGTGAGGAACTTTATGGAAGGATACTTGATCACTCAAATGTTGAGTCAACCACCCAAAGGACTAGCCTTAACCAAATGAATGAAATTTGGACAAGGATGTTCCTTGATGAACCATTTGAGGTTGATTTAAGCAATCCCATGACGGAAAGTGATGCTGTTAGCAAATCCGATTCTCAAAAGAGCACGGACTATGATCTTGTATCTGCCGTAAAAAGGCAGAGTACCTTCTTTTACCAGGTAAAGATAAAAACATCTTGTTACCTTCCCAAAGCTCCATTACTATCTGGACATAAAAATGCCTTAGAAAACAGAAAAAAGATTCTTTTTTAAGGTGAGAAGAGTATTACATACATGTTCATGTTATTGTCACAGGTATCTAGGCCTCATGTGAGCAATAACATATTTCTGAAGGAAGCAATAGCTAGATACAAGGGGTTTCTTCATCTAATTAAGAAAAATAAGGAGATGTCTATAAAGCGCTTTTGCGTTCCAACATATGATATTGACCTCATTTGGCATGCTCACCAATTGCACTCGGCCTTATACTGTAAGGACACGACTGCTATATGTGGCGAGGTACTGGATCATGATGATACTGATACTGATAGATCAGAAGGTATGAAACTGAGTGTCGAGTTTATGGAGACTTCCAAGAGGTGGGAAGAGTTATATGGTCTTAGGTATTGGAAAGCAGGAGCAATGTACAGAGGAAGTGCACCTTCACCTCTTACAGTTGATGCTCATATATTCGAGAAAACTCAGAAGAGTGAAATCCTTGCAAACAAAAGTCAAAATATTATTCAACTTCCAAAGAAAATGCTAATAGAGGTAAGTTTTAAATTCCTTGGCCAGTAATAAGAGCATTTTTTTTTCAGCAATATGCAAATACTGATACACATTCTCTGCCTGGAAATAGTCGTCACATTATCCTAACCTTTCATATTCAAGTTTCATCACGATCCTTTATAAAGGTTATTACTGATTTTTTTTAAAATTGTGGGTGTGTTTGGAAATCCAATAGTAATCTATTTCTATTTTGGGAACGCGATAAATTTTTCCGGATGATGTTGCATATATACATTCAACTATTTTTCCCCTCTAAAACACTTGCAGGTTCTACTGGAGATAGTGGAAGTAAGAGGACTACCTCAAAGGCATGGAGATAAACTCTTCATTAAGTTCAGTCAGAGAAACAAAAATAATCTTCATTATATAACAGAGAAAAATCTGAGTATTTCTACAGAATCTCAGAAAAAACAGGTGATTAATTTCCAGTCTGAACCAACCTCAGAGCTTCTCTTTGAACTGATGTCCAAGTCAAGTACTACAAACTACCTAAATTCTGCCAAAATTATAGGCACTACAACAATCTCCCTAGTAGATGTTGTGAATGCCGGGCAACAACTCTCAGTTGACCGATGGTTCGAGTTGCTCCCACCCTTGGAAAGTAAAGACACAAATCCACCTATAAGTTTACGGATTTCTCTCTCGTTCACTCCTCCTGCTAGTGCTCCGTATATGCTCCATATGGTTCCTTCAGGCGGAGTCAAGAGTCATACTCTTGTTCTAGATAAGGCTGGTAACCCAGTTATTGGAGTTTATATGAGGTGACCATGAGTCCATGACAGAGCTTAATGCACAATTGTAGTCTACTTAACATTTAGTATTAACAGGATATTAAGAAGCCTAATATAATAGTTTGAATCCTTTTTTGGTGATTTGTGATGCCTAGGTGTGTCGACAAAAGTCCGTATGAAGTGATTGGCGTGTTGGAATCAAGGGAAGATTCTATACTTGCAAAAAAAGAGGGAGCTGGATGGTCTTTGATGGATTCTCAATGGGACTTTCGTCCACGAAACAAACCAGAAAATTCCTATGAGCTCTTAGGTGAAACAAAGGTAAGCATATGCATATCTTTGACATTCAACAGGACCATTTCACAAAAAAAAAAAGAAAAAGAAAAAAGAATGTTTATGTTTATGCAGGTGATATTCTTTCCTGGTAAGAAATTAGATTACGAAACCAAACACAGCAGTCAAAAAGACGAGCATGACAACTTCACCACTGCAGTTGAATTTTCTCCTGAAAATCCTTATGGAAAAGCTGTGGCTCTCTTGGACTTAAAATTTGGTGTTCTTCAGGTAATATTACTTGCATATTCAAACTCTATCAGCCTAAGTATAGAAAGTTTAAAGTTTAAGATTCATTTTAACTATAGACTGTGTGTCAAGTAGGTCAAGGAGGATTGGTTCCTGCTACCAGGAACTATATCTGCCTACTGTATCCTATATGATGCATATGGAAGGGAATGGGAGAAGAAATTAGATACAATGACACAAGAAGAATGCAGAGATTTTAGTGTCATTAGTGCTTTAGATGGAAGTGGCAGGGAAGAAGATTGTAGTGGGGCTAGTATTGGAGGAGATGGCGGGGGAGGAGATTGTAGTGGGGGCTCTTGTGGAGGAGCTACATGTGGCGGTGGTTGTGGTGGATGTGGAGGATGAATCATTAGCTTCAAATTCATGATTATTGATTGAGGAAATAAGTTGAGCTACGGATAGTTGATTTAATAGGCAATACCTAGTACGGAGTACATTATAGAAGAAAGATGACAGATATGACTGATATTCAAGAGTGTATTATGGAGTAATTGTATAATTCAAGATGACAGTAATATGGAGTACATTTCTTCAAGCATATTCATGTACATCAGTGCATAACCTATGAATAACAGTAGATCTGCGTGCTCTTCTGCCTTTGTTTGATTATTTGCTTATTATCATTTCACCTCAATCATATGATATGATCTTATAATAGTTTGCATTATATCTTCAGGATCTTATATAAACACTGAAATGTATGTATGTATGTATGTATGTATGTATGTATGTATGTATGTATGTATGTATGTATATATACCCTGTTCAAACTTTGAGTGAAGCCAAGCAATTATTAAATGTGTGATAAGATTATAATCAACATCGGTCCTCTTTATCATCCTAATAAAACTAAGAACATGAAGGAAGTACACTAATTATTGCAGCTATTGAAGCAACAAAATGACAAGGGAAAAACAGTTGAGCAAGTTGAAATAACAGAACCTAAAGTTGTGGTGAACTTAGTGAAGCAGCCCCAAACATGGAGAAATTATTATAAAAAGTAACAAGAAAATGAGTATTTTGACAAGGGAAAGAGCTAACAGAAGTGTTAACCTTGTACAAAAATGGTGGGCACGCCGCATGCTTCATTGTCTTCAGTAATCTTGAACATCTGCTCAGTCAGATCCAAATATTGGGAACATGTGAGAGCTTGTCCCATTCAGGTCCCTTGTGTTTGGCACCTCTTTTTCAAAAGTGGGCATCCTCCAACCTGCAGACTCTTTAGTTGGGTGAGACGTCGCATGGCCTCTGTTGAAGGTAGAAATTTCAACACTTTGCAATTCCATATCTCCAATATCTCAAGAGATGACAGGTCCCCTATCCACTCTGGAAGTTGATCCAAGGCAGGAAATCTCTGAATAATCAGATATTTAATGCTAGTAAGAATGAGTTGAAGTTTTTGTGGCAGCAACTTGACATTTGCACAATCCCTCAATGTTAGTCTTATAAGGGATTGATTACTTAGGGAGGGGGTAATGTAAGAAAAGCACCTTCTGAATTCTTCCTCGTCTTCAAACCCACCAATTTCTAGATCCTTAAGGCAATGAAGATGTGAAATTGACCGTAGCACAGAAGTCATTAACTTTCCTGAATTAACAGCAGTTAATGTGACAAGACCCTCTAATCTACTTAAATCTGGGACAGGATCCTCAATCAATGGGCAGTTCTTAATCCTCAGATACTCCAAAGACGTACATTCCTGTATACTAGTTGGGATCCTTGTTAAAAGTGTACATCCATCTATGATCAGTTCGCGAAGAGAAGAGAGGCCACGGAAAAGATACTGAGGAAGAGAGTCCAAGGATAGGCAATCTCTTATGTCCAATATCTGAAGATATACAAGGGATTGTAGGCCTGTGGGCAAAGACTCAAGCTTGCTACAGCTCCAGATCTCCAATCTCTGTAGGTTCGTACAATTTGGCAGCTCCTGAGATAGAGTCTTTATCTCTGATAATCTATACACTTTGAGCGAAGTGAGACTACCATTGTTAAATTTGATGATTTCTGAGGGTATTGAATCCAGCTGAGGGCAACCTCCAACTTTTAGAGTTTCAAGGCAAGGAAATGCAGTTGACGCTATTGCTAGGGGTGGTGGCTTCCAAGTGGCTAACCTGGAAAATTCCCAGATAAGAAGATGTCTTAGAGCTGGAAATAATTGTACTGCATTCAAATTAGTAGCGTAAGGCCAACATTTTTGCTCGCTAGTACCACTCCTACTTTGGTACACAGGTGCATCATGGTCACCAACATAAAATTCATTGCCTATAGATTCCATTCCATGGAAAAATGTCAGCTTCAGAATATTCAGACAGGGAAGTAGCCCGAGAGTGGGAAGTTGTTCACAGCTGCTGCAATAATCTATTTTCACCACTGTGAGATTGCTAAGCAGTGCAAGACTACCTCTCTGATTCACAGCCATTTTCATAATCCATGAAGGAAACCTCATGCCCTTGAAGCTTGCTAATTCCAGTGATGTTATATTTGGGTGAGGTTCCAAACCACCCAAAACATCCTCATCAGTATTTTCGCTACTTGCTGCTCTGACATAAGCCCAACTCAGGCTTAATTTCAAGACCTTGCACTTTCTACCAAGGCCAACTTTCCTTGCTTCCTCCTTTCCCTTTACATGCTCAAGACCCTTGATGCATATCAGACCCATAACTTGATGCAGAGGTTCCAGCTCATCAATAGTCCATCCTTCCCCATCGCGTAACTCAAGATGAGGTAAGGTCTGCAGGCAAGTGAATTGCTGTAATCCTCTAGAAGCAAACACATAATCTGATGTCAAGATGTGTCTTAAGCTGACCATCTTGTGCAATTTCTGGGGTAGTTGTTTTAGCTCTTTACAACCTTGCAGGCTCAAAGTCTGTAGTTGGTAGAGTTTACAGATTATATCTGGCAATGTTTTGATTGGATTATAAGATAGGTCAAGATATCTTAGATGTTTCAACTGCCCAATGGCAGGGGAAACCTCCGTTAGCCCAATATTGGCCATTATCAGTGTACGCAAGTACATTGCGCAAATCAACATATCCCACCTCGGCACACCACCCCAAAAACTTACTGTTCTTAGCTTCTGTATGTTCACCCCCACAGGTGTTTTGGCTTCAATTTCAGTCTCTCCAAAATTGATAACAAGATGTCGAAAATCAAAGGAATTATGCAGCGTGGCTTCTGCATTCCAGACCAACAAATCCTTTTGCCAAATATACACTGCAAGATCATGCACTAAATCATGCATCTTGTAGAGCATAATTTCACCGGTTTCATCATCCTCTATTTCTTCCTGTAAGAACGAATTATTCAGTAAAATTTGAAAATATTTCTCCCCAGTTTCCTCCATGCTTGTTCCAGATTCATGCAGAAAGCCCTGAGCCAACCAAAGAGCTATTAATTGGCCCTTATCTATTAAGCTGTCTTTACGAAAGATTGCAGAACAGGCAAAACATTGCTTTAAAGACAGGCAAGGTAAATTCTTAAAGCTTAAAAACAATGATGGCAAGATGTAATTTTCATCATCTTGTGGCAAATTCCATAGTTCACTTCTTTCTATTGACTCCCATTCAGAAGGATGTTTCTTCAGCTGCAATAAGCCTCTGATTGCTTTTAATGCCAAAGGAACGCCCTTACACTTCTCAACAATCCTTCTCCCAACATCCTCAAAAGAAGAAGTCATACTTGGTAGCATCCTACTAACAAAAACATTATGTTTCAGTAAGGCCCAACCATCATTTTCTGATAATCCTTCAAGCTTGTGTGTGTAGACTGTTCGTGCTTTCTCTGCTACTCCAATGCTACGAGTGGTAATTAAAACCACACTTCCTGCTATATCCCCAATTCTCTGCAATTCATTCTTAAAGGAATCCCAAAGCTCAAGGTTGTTGTTCCATACATCATCAAGTACAAGCAAGAACTTTTTCTCCTTCAACTCTCCTTGAAGTTTATTAATAACTGCACCTGTATTGGTTACATTACAATTGCCTGATGTGAGCGATTCAACCATCTCCTTCAGAAGTCTTTCAATATCGAAATTCTCAGAAACACATATCCAGACTTTTTTCTTGTTAAAGTGTGCATCAACTTTCTCATGTTCATATAGGCGTCTTGCTAAAGTTGTCTTACCAAGGCCTGTATGACATAAATAATCACAATCAACAAATGCTTACAATGTAATTTTGTTCCCTTCACCTTATATTTACAATTCACAGAATACAAGTTACTGATAATGTCGTCAATAAGTTCAAATATCTTAAGTTAATTTGCCAATTAGGGCTATTAGCTCAAATAAGCTCTGAAAAAGGCTAGTATGTTCCATTAAGCAAACATAACCCAAAATTTTAAAACTAACAAAACACTATTTTCATGCAATTTTTAAAGAAAAAAGACAAATAAATTTACCTCCAATTCCAACGATGGCAATGGTGGACAAATCACCATTGTTAATTGGATTGCAAAGCACCTCTAGTAGCTTCTCCTGATCAATCTCCCTCCCTACGAACTCGTAATCACTAGCAGCAGCATGTTTTCTAACTTGATTCAAATTAACAATATACTGATCACCTCCATCCATAAAAATAGATGAAGCAACTGCTTCTCTTGCCAACTTCACCTGCTTAAGACCCATCTTCTGTGCCTCCTCCTCTAGCTTTTCCAACTTTGAAACAATCTTCTTGACTCGATAACTCAACTCGAAACGAAACAAGATAGGATTATTATCACTGCTAGAGATATTGAAAAACTTGTAGATTTTTTTCTTAGGCTCAAATTTCCTACAAAGTAATTCATAAGCATGATCATCCAATATATTATCAGCAGAATATGCAACATCTTTGAGTTTCATTAGCCAAAGTTTAACAACTTGGCTTTTTTCTTCATGACTTTTGGTTCCTAGATCATCCAAAAATGCTTGAACATACAATAACTTGTTCTTTAGCAGTTCGAGTTGATCGTTGAAACCCCATGAAAGTGATCTGATCTCCTCAAAAGGGCGAGCTGCCACTAACTTGGTGTTGGGGTCCAATTTAGTCCAATTGGGCCTAGGCATTAAATGATCCAATTAAAAGCCCAAGGTCAAGGTTCAACTCTCCAATTGTGCTAAAGTCAAAGGTCAGCCCTCAAAGCAAGCCAATTGGGCTAAGGCCCAACCTCTCCATGTATGAAGAGGTATAAAAGCCATCAATATTCAAACATACATATTCATTCATAGATTCATATACTCTCATATATTCAAGCAAAGCCTCAAGCAACTAATTCTCTTGCATAGTGTTCTCTTACTACACACTGTACTGACTTTAGCATCGGAGGGGCCTTCCTCGGCAACACCCCCGAGGCTAGTTTACGTGTGTTTACTGTGCAGGAAACCTTCGGCCCAGCATAACTTGGACCGAATCCAGTCTTCTCCGTTTCAGCGGACCTTCGGCAAGGTCCCATTGTTTTCACCCGAAACAATTTGGCGCCGTCTGTGGGGACGACTTTCAAAAATCTTTAAGCCAAATTTCTAACCAAGATCATCTTGCAATTATCTTAGTAGCAATGGCTAAGAACCGCAAGAGCAAAAGCCTCCGTCAAGGAGCGGGCGAAAAGCCTAAAACCCCTACACCACCACCCTC